GCCAAGTGGATAAACAATAAAGTATACTGTCTATCGCGGTGTTCGTTTATAGCGATTCGTAATAACGCAGTTGTATGAGTATAAATAAAGCGCCCAGATTATTTTCCGCTCAAGGCCTGACTTTTGGCCGGAAAAGCGATCAAAAGTGTGGGCAATTTTTTTCTGAAATTCGGGCAAAAGCCGGGAAAAATTTAAAATGTGCGTAGGATTTTAGATCCATAAAAATTACAGCTTTATTACGATTTCTTTGGTAAAATTACATTGCTATTGCTAGTATATTGGCAATTCATTTCAAATTAATCATAGTAAAAAAATCTGCCTGCGACATAAGCAATGTTTGTCAGTTTCAGCATGTTTCTTTAGGCTGCCTTCACCTTTGCTATCAATTTTGAACTGAGAATTACACCATTTGCACATTGCGCTGCTTTCATCGCCTTTAACCGCTGCTAACCACTTGTATGTTTGTAACCAGGTCTGATTGAACTTACACTTTCCCGCACGATGATAACGAAAGGGCGAACAATTGTAGAGCGCCGCTACAGAGTGATGACAACACTTAGTTCAAATTTGTTCGCGCTCAAATTCACTCCGTCATATTCATTCTTGTTTTCATGTCGAACCAGTGAAAAAAATAATAAAAAAATAAAAAAAATAAATTCGAAATAAAATAAAATACAATTTAAATTAAATCCGCACATATTTTACATGTTTTGCTGGTTGTCGTATGATTCAGCAATAATCCATAATGGTGACGAAATATTATGAAATATTGCGAAATCATATAACAAACAAAAAAACATGTAAAATATGTGCGGATTTAATTTAAATTGTATTTTATTTTATTTCAAATTTATTTTTTTTAATTTTTTTCACTGTTTCGACATTAAAACAAGAATGAATATGACGGAGTGAATTTGAGCGCGAACAAATTTGAAATTTTTTCTTTCGCATTCTGCCGTTCTCCAGTAGTGGCGCTCTACTATTTCACACTCCATGTTTTACATTGAAAAATTGACAGAATATTGCCGGGTGCACTTTCCCCCCATTATTTCAAAATCAAAAAAAATTATCAACACAAAAATTAGTTTAATTTGTTCGACTTCAAATTCGATTGGTTTGGCACTTCTGAATTCAACTCGTTGATTGATTATTGCACAATGAGCCGCCCAAATAAAATGAGTCACAAAACAAATCATATTGTGATCGATGCAAAATTGACGCACGCAAACACACGAAAATTGCATGATAGAAAAGCGACCGCCGCTGTTACAGCGCTCAGCTGTTCTACGAATACACACAGCAAAGAACGACGAACTTGGTTGAATTCTTGACAACTTCGACATTTCGATGTACACACACATATAAATACGTATGGTGGATTGGAAAACGTCAGCAATGAACTATACTAACACTTGGTGTAGCAAGTTCATCGAATGTGTGAACGGGTGACAATATTCGATGACTTCAAAATCATATGAAAAACCACACAAGTGTTGACAGTGCAAACTCACGATTTTTTCAAAATATTTCTTTGGAAAACAAATCGTGGATGAAGCCTAGGCTTTGCAGAGCCCGAATATCAACAATAAAGGAAAATAAATGAATATAATTCCCAAACAAATAATGTATATAAAATGTATGGCGTTTCCAATCTCACCACTGTTCACCACAATCAGTCAAAGCATTAATGTGAATGACGCATGACAAAGTGACTTTGACAGCACACGCATATGAATTGATGTCATGTTTACAGTCGGAAAAGTCAATGCAAAATCTCCAGTATTCAGTTTCAGTCTACTTTATGCATATTGAGCAATTTTCGACTCGACTACAGCTTTACATTTTGTTTATAACTAAAATTTTTGTCGATGCGACAGACTGTTTTGTTTGCATGATAAATCAGTTGAAGTGAAATACGCGATTATATTCGATTTTAGTGTATTTAAAATTTTTAAATGTAGAATAAAGAAAAAAGCTGGGCAAGCCGGGCAAATTGCTTAAAAGGTCGGGCATACCGGAGTCCGGCATCGGGCAGCTGTTTTTGGTCAAAAAGGCCGGGCAAACCGGCCAAAAGCCGGGCATCTGGGCGCTTTAAGTATAAATAAATTTCAATGAATCACTTGTCTGCGCTCATTTGATGAAATTCGATCGATTTTTTTTTCTTCAGAGCCTTAATGTGAAAGCATTTTGAAATAATGTTTCAAAAAATTCTAGATGGGGCGCAGAAATTTCCAGATGGGGCTGAGCCCCAAATGCTTGTATGGACGCTACGGCGCTGAATAAAATTGTAATTGTAATAAGATTGTAATAAGTATCTTATTACTTTTGGTGCAAAAAAAATCGCAAAAAAAATTTCATGTAAAAAACATGTCAAATTTTCCAAGTCACATTTTTTTTCAACATTTTTTCGTCTGACAAAAATTGACATGTTCTTTACATGAAACTTTTTTTGCGATTTTTTTTGCACCAAAAGTAATAAGATACTCATTACAATCTTATTACAATTACAATCTTATTACCGTAATAAGATGGACTTATTACTTATTACGCATCTTATTACAAAGTAAGATAGACTTATTACAGTAATAAGTAGGTAATAAAGTAATAAGAATTACATTTTTTTACTTCTACAGCCCTGATATAAATTCAATAGTACGAATATTCTGTTTTGCATTTTTCATTTGTACTTTATTTTCGTTATAGCTATAATAAACATACGCTACATTTTTCTTTGCCAAAGAATATGAACCATTGGCATTTTGAATGATTTGGATATCATCTTCATTAGGATTTGAAATTTTGAAATAGGTATTCATTGACACCAAGCATGACACAGGCATCATTACAAATCCATGTGAAGCATTCACGATAGAAATGAATTGATTTACAATTTGATGAGGTAAATCATAATCGTTTGCCAGGATATTATTGTCAGAAAAGCAGAACGTTTCGGCCTCTCTGAATGCAAATTTTCGTTTAGTTTCGAAATATGAAGCGCTATCTTTGAATTCACTACAGAGCTCTTCATTACTATAAGAGTCTATGAATTCGAAAAATTTTCGAACTTCTTCGTGCACATCTTGCACGTTCGCGATTTGCATTTTGGCCCCTTTGAATAAAATAGTCGCCAATTCATTGGTAAAGTTCATAGTCCATTCGTGTTCTTTGCATAAATTGTTGATCTCACGAATGATTGCCTTCCGTTCCTTGGCCGATAGGCGTCCATGAATTTGTTCTCCGGCTATCGAACAGATCTTTACACCGATGTGTTTGAATTGGGGAACAGTCAATTTGCCATTTAGGTAACAGTATCCGACCGAGCCATTTGCTAGAACGCGCCATGTGCCAAATCCGCCCTGATTATGATCAAAGGTCAGCGTAAATGGTAGTCTTAAATAATTTATCGCAATATGATGCAGTAACAATCGAGTGTTTAACGAAGGAGTACCACCGAGGTCAATCATGATTACCTTCTCATCTTTGCCGCGCTGTGCTAACTGCCTACGTATCTTAGGCATGTAGTTTTGAAGGTTATTGTCACCTTTCAACTCCCAGATTGCAATTGTCCTCTTTGAAATGGACATTTTGTCCGTGCGCAAATGAAATACCTGAAAATACATTGGAAGTATGATTAAATTCGATTGAAATTAAAAGTAGGTTTAGTAATTATTACACAAATGACGTGGCATAAACGTCGGTTTAGTGTAATGGCGATTATAGAAACGAAAAAATGATCTTACTTTGAGTTGTTGAGTTTGACCCTGCATGTAATTGATTGTGGTTTCATTCTCTGTCCCTTTGGAGAAGCATATACGAAGCGGACCCCATGCGCTGTTCAAAACTTTTCGTCGTACGATCCATAAATCCTTAATTTGAATTTCAAGCAAGGTAAAAGTATTCTCGACACAACAGGCCCGTAGCCAGGATTGATTGTATGGGGTGGCATGACCAATTTTTGGGGTGACGCGTAATTTTCAATTTTTCAAAAGAAATTTTTGATATTTAATATCTTGAAACTTAATTTTGGCTTGATTTATTGTAAAATTTTCTTCAACTGTCGTCGATTTCGGCTTTCTTGGACTGGCGGCAAATCATTTTCAACCATAAATTCAGTTGCTTTAGTTTCAAATTCGTTGAAACTTTTTTTTTGTAACTTTTTTATGTCCTCGATGACCAAATCAATCAGTGGGATTGCTCTGACGTAGCTCATTTCTCGCGACTGATGCAATTTATTGGCTGGCTCCAATAAATCTAATTTATTTCCCATTTTTATGCTCAGCGACACATATGTAAACAATAAATGTCGCAGACGATAAATATTCGTTATAAACAAAAGCCTATCGAGAATGATTTTATAGGTCTCAATATCAAGTCATTATAGAAGATGGAATAAAATAAAATTCAGAAGTCGTTCGGCAATTCGTTTGGAAGTGTATCGTTCGGCTGTTTTTTGTGTTGACTAATACTATTTGAATAGAATAGAACCGATTTCTTAGAGGTTTTGAATATAACTGAACTTTATTTCTTATTTTTCTATGACAAGATTTCTTAGTTTTCAAATATGGTTACTAAGACTATTCATATTCTCCCACCCCAAAATGTTACATTTTGCTTGAATTTTTTCATATTCTTTTACAATTTCGGTTTCATTCAAATCGCCGTTTAAAATGATGATGGGTATAGATGACTCTTTCAATAACCATTTGTCGTGTAACCTGGGGGATAGACACAAGATCTGAGATACGTTCGTTTTTCAAAATACTTAATTGATTTTGTGTAGAGGTGTTCAGATTCGTGAAGATTCATTGAGATTTGAAGGGATTTGAAAAGATTTGTAAAAATCTTACTAATTTGTTTGACCTTCTTGACAAGTCAGCCATTTTGATTTGAGAAGATTCATAAGGATTCATAGAGATTCAAAAGTATTTGGATTTGCTCGAGTTTTGAGATTCCTATAGATTTGAAAAGATCTAAAAAGATTCAAGTTTTAAATGTTGTGTCTACCCCCTAGCATGTAACTCATGTAGAATTTTCAGGTATTCCAAACTCACGCCATTTTCTTCTTCTCGATCACGCTTCCTCATTCGATTTAAGGCAATCTCCGGTGATGTTCGCAAATATATGAACAAGTCAACTTCGGTCGGGCTGTTTGTGATGCTATAGATTGATCTTTCCATTATCTTGTAGTTTTTATCGGTAGTCCTTGAATGATTTTGAAGCATGGTGAGAGCTACATAGCTTTGGAATGGAACGAACCATTCGTTTCGGTTTTTGAACATTAGATCGAGCAAATTAACACCTTCAAAATTGCTCCATTTTTCCACTGGTTCGGGAAGAATGTCAATATTGGTGAATTTGTTGAAATAATTCAGCAAAGTGCTTTTTCCGGAACCGATGTTACCCTCTACGACTAAGGTAAATGGTTTTTTGGCAACAACTGATGGGAATGATGTCAGCATGATTACGTTTTGTGTTCATCAATCGGAAGCGGGGCCAGTTTGATAATGGGACGAACATAAGTTCCCTCTTTGGTCTTAACTGTACAGACTCTGATCAAACCATCTGGTCCAGGATGCGTTTCAATTATCCTCCCCATCAACCATTTGAGTGGTGGAAAATTCTCCTCCTTAATTAACACCACATCACCAATTTGTAGATTTTGTTGTGTTGTCAACCACTTCTGACGCTGTTGAAGAGAGTGTAAGTAACTCTTTTTCCAAAGGGCCCAAAATGACTGTACTCGTTTCAGCGTGGCTCGATAGCGATGAGTAAGTTGAACTGAAACTTCCAGAACATTTGGCTCAGGTACGGATGTCATTGCGTCTCCAATCAGAAAATGTCCCGGAGTTAGATAAGTCAAATCTTCTGGATCATCGGACTTCTTCGTCTTTTCGAAGCATCGTGCGTGCACCAATGAAATTTGTACATCGATCTGAGTAGAGATCACTGCATTTACCTCGTCGAGCAATGAATCTCTGGAAACTCATTGAAAATGCTTCTGATGATAGATCGATTACGGGTTCCAAGTGAACAGCTTTGATGGTCATGCACACAAATAAAACCACGTATCCTTTGTAAATTCTGCTACCTGGCTTCTTTGAAGTTCTCAGCAAAATGGGTCCACACAAATCAACTCCCGTATGTAGAAAAGGCCGTTGACATGGTGTAACACGGACAGCCGGTAAGTTGGACATTAACTGGCTCGCTGTTTTAGGCTTGTTTCGAAAGCATGTGACACAGTTGGTTATCACTGATCGATGTGGATTTCTTCCGCCGAGTATCCAATATTTCTGTCTAATTTCAGCCAAGGTGAGTTGTACGCCGGCATGCAATGCAAGTTGATGATGATGTTGGATAACCAATTTGCTGAAATGGCTTTCTTTCGGCAGAATGAACGGATGTTTTTGGTCATAACTGGCTTCCGAAAAGCTTAATCGTCCACCAACACGCAGTAATTCATTTTCATCCAAAAATGGATTCATTTTTGAAAGCGGATGTTTAACTTTGCTTTGACTTTGAACAAGTAGCGCTATGTTTCCAAAATTTTCCTTTTGCACAAAGGAAATCCAACGAAGATTAGCATTATTCAGTTCAGTAACGCTAAGCGATCCCTTTTTAACCTCTTGTTTGTTGTTCAAATATTGAAAAAATCGACGGAACCAAGCAGTATATCTCAATAATTGAACTTAATCGAGAAGATATTGAGTTGGAGTTGAAACTACGTTGACAACATTGATTTTGATAGGTTTCAACTCATCAGCCAATTCGATTTCTCTCACCGCTTCCTTCTCCGTTTTTGTATTAGAGGGCCAGGTATTTTCGGGCGATCTCAACCAAGCTGGTCCCGAGAACCAAAGTTGGTTGTTTTCAAGCTCTGATGGAAACAATCCCCTTGATAACAAATCAGCTGGATTTTCCTTAGTTGAAACATATCTCCATTGATGTGATTCGGTTGTCTGAAGAATTTTTGTGATACGATTTGCGACAAAGATTTTCCATTTTCTCGCATCACCTTTCAGCCAATGAAGTACGACTTGTGAATCACACCAAAGGAATACATTCGAAGCGTTAAAACTTTGATGACGAATAGATTTTTGTGTATACTTGATAAGTTTCGCCAGTATCAAAGCAGCCGATAATTCCAAACGTGGAATTGTTTGAATTTTGATCGGAGAAACCCTTGATTTCGAGACAATGATTTTTGAGTGAATTTCTCCGTTTTCATCGATACAACGTAGATAAATACCAGCACCATACGCTTCAGTTGAGGCATCCGAAAAACCATGTAATTGAAATGATGAACAAATCGGGGATGCTCCAATCCAACGCGGTATTTTGATTGAAGAAAGTAAAGGCAGCTTGCCGATGAATTCCTTCCATTCGCGAAGTGTTTTTGTTGGCAAAGGGTCGTGCCAATCAAGATTTAATGACCACAATGATTTCATGAAGATCTTGGTTTTCACAGTGATCGGTGATACCAAGCCAAGAGGATCGTAAATGCGAGCGATTGTTGATAAGACGAATCGTTTCGTTACGATCTCTTTGTCCTCATAACTAATGTTGAAATTCAAAGTGTCCGAAGAGGTATTCCAAAAGATACCAAGCGTTTTGATTTTCTTATCCGGATTGATGAAAAATGGTATGCTAATTTCTCGATCAGACTCTGGAACCGCCGCTAAAATTTCCTCCGAATTACTTGCCCACTTTTTGATACAGAAACCAGCAGAATCGAAAATATGTATCAAATCTCGTTGAATTTGGAGACCGCTACTAACGTTGTGGGAACCGGTGATGGTGTCATCCATGTTTCATCACTTCCGCAACTTGTGGAAATTCATTGCTATTCAGTTCAGCAAGTTTTTTGACACACTGATTCGCTCCACAAGGTGCATAATTTGTGCCAAATCCCAGTCGGCTGATACCATACTCTCGCAATTTTTCAGACGGATTGTCTCTCCAAAGAATTCGTTGATAAGTTATATCGCATTCAGCAACACGAATTTGGTGATACATTTGTTGAATATCACCAATGAAAGCTACTCGATGAAATCGCCAATTCAGTAAAATCGATACTAAATCGTTGAGAAGCATTGGTCCGGTGAAAAGCACTGAGTTCAACGAATTGCCGTTTGAAGTTATTTTTGCGGCATTGTAGACTGGACGCAAACGAGTTGAAGTGCTGGTTTCTTTGATAACGGCATGATGTGGCAGATAGAAACAGTCATAAGCAGCACGACCGTCTTCGGTGTAATATAAACGGTCCGATTCTGTATCGAAAAGTTCATGCATGTGACCTTGAACCAAGTAATCGTTGATGTTTTTTGCGTATTCTTCTTTGAACTTTGGGTTGTACGCAAATTTTCTTTCCAATTGTAGAAATTGTTTTAGCGCATTTTCTCTCGATTTTCCCAAAACAGCTTCTGGATGCAGTGGTGTGCGAAATGGAAATTTCACGATGAAACGGCCTTCCTCGTCTCTCCGATAGATTGAAGAAATCAATCACGTATTGATCTTCATGGCTGTGTATTCTTTCTTCCGAAATCTCTTCAATTTCAAAGAATTTTTGTAGAAGTTCACCAACTTGGACTGTGTTCATTGAAACTGACTGATAATCGTTGTTGTAAGCTTTTCCGAAGAGAATTCATCCCAACTCAGTTTTTTGTGCAGTTGACGTTCCCTGGGGACATTTCATGACTTCGCTGAGAACAATTTCGCCATAAATCTCCGCTCCCAAAATGATGTCAATTGGGCCGGTTTGATTGAAATTTGGATCGGCGAGTGGTAGATTCTTGATGTGCGACCAATTCGAAAAGAAGATTTCTTTCGATGGAAGTCGATGAATCAACGATTTGAGAACTAAAGCATGAACTTCAGTCGTGAATGATGAATTCGTGGAATGAATCTGGAAGCTGGTAACACCATTACTCTTTGATTGGACGTGATCCAGATGATCCACATTGATGAGGCATCTTGTTTTATTCAAACCCAGTGTTTGAATTGCTGATTCCGAAATTGCACTAGCTTCACCTCCCAAATCAATCATTGCTCTCATAGGAATCTTCTTGCCTTGTTTTGAAGAAACCAAGACTATTGCTGTCGCTAGCAATGTTGAACGAAAAATTGGTGTTTCAATTGTGCCGTATTTATGCTCTTTGAAGTTGAAGTTGAAGCTGACATCGAAGTCGATTCTCCTTCCATTTTTGAAGATCCGGTTGGATGCAGCAGGGTATGATGACGTGAATTACATTCGGCACAATTTCGTCGACTGGAACATTTCGGCTTTAGATGAAACTTGGATAGGCAGTTAAAACAAAGGTTCAAGCGTTTGGCTGTAGCATTCCTCTCCTCTGATGATAATTCCAGGAATTTAGGGCATGTACGAATTGAATGATTCGCAAGACAAAGAGCACATTTCAGTTCTGTTTGATGATTTGAAGTTACAGAAGATGCACGTGAAGATGCCCTCGAATTTGAGTTATATTTCTCTTGTTTGAAATGCAGTGATTTAATGGATTTGTGAGACTGACTTTTCGGTGGTTTTGACTGAACTTCAGGTTGACTCTCTTTACTCGGTTGAATAAGCTCTAATGTTCGCATTGTTTTTTGGATTTCATCAGTAACGTCTTTCACTGACGGCAAATACTCCTTACTTTTTTCAGTAATTTTTTTCTCGAACTCTTTTCGTGTTTGTTCTGGCAATTTTTCAATAGCCAAGTAGGCTATGAAAGGATCGATGGCTACTACGTCGATTTCGATATTCTTGAAAGTTTGGACGCTTTCATGAATAATGATGTAGAGATTTCTCAACGTTTCCAGCGATTCCGAATCGGATTTTTCAAGGCATTGAAGAGCTGATATGGTATTGTTGAAAATCACTCTTCTGTTTTCGAATTCCTCGCGCAGTAGTTCAAGCGCAGATTCATAGCTCTCTTCAGCCACTGGTAGATGTTTAATTATGCCTCGGGCTTTACCCTGAGTGGCAGCAAAAAGGTACTGAAACTTTTGGACTAGGTGGACCTTTTTGTTGGTGTGAATCATGGCATGGAATTGGTCGTAAAAACCCTTCCATTCGCTCGACTTGCCAGAGAATGTTGGCGGTTGAAGTGTTGGTAATTTTATTTGAGCAGGACTCGAAGCTTGTAGATTTTGTAATGCATGCAATAAGTCTACATTTCCTGGTTCGGTTGAAGTCGATGTTGTAGCTGCTGATGGGTTCTGAGCCAGTAGATTTTGAAGATGAATATTCAAATCTTGGCAAATTTGCCGAAATGACTTCGGGTAGGGCGATTTCAATTGTAGATTTTATGTACTTTAATGTAGTGTTTTTACTTTTTTTATGTAGGAACAATTTTTTCGAGTAATCGGCTATCGAAAAACTGTTATAAAATGGGACAACTCAAATCTTGGTCAAAAAACGTATTTTCCACAAATCGAATTTTTTTTCGAATGAAGAATGGTTCCAAAAAATTGTAGATAAATTGTAGAATTCAAATCAATTGTCTGTTCTCAAATATGTCTGCCCGTTCGTTCGATAACGGGACGAGTCTTGAAAATTGGTCCAAAATCGGTAATACTCAAATCTTGGCCACAAATTGAAATTTCCACAAACTGAATCTTCCTCTCTTGATGCTAGGTTCCATAAAATTGTAGAAAAAATGTAAAATTCAAATCAGTCATCCGATCCTTGATGTTTTCAACAAACTATTTGGCTACGGGGGAGTTCAATATTTAATATGGGAATAAAACTGCTATAAACTGTTATAAAACGTGTTTTAATAACCAAGAATTAATTGTAGTGGCCCGAAAATAATTGTAGAAGCAACTACAGTTATTGTAGTGGTCGAAAATTGATTGTAGAAGCAACTACAGTTATTGTAGTGGCCCGAAAATAATTGTAGAATCATCTACAGTTATTGTAGTGGTCGAAAATTGATTGTAGTACAGGTGGGCGGAGTAAGAGAGTATAATTCATACTCCTACTCCTAC